AATAACTGATTCCGAGTGTTTTGAATAAGTGACATAACTTTGAATGTAACAAATAGTATAATATGTAATTTAATAGTTCAATACTAATTTCTAAATTATGAAATCACACATAAGTTTTCTTTTTTTAGATTAAATAAATTAAATAAACATTTTAATTTAATAATATTATAGACACCGTGTCCACAACCAATATTGGTTACACCGAAATAATGTGTATAAACATAAATATTTCAAATTCTTCATATTCAATAGAAATGCATTACTTTACAGATTGTAATTACAACTAAAATATGTTTGAGAAAATATTCATTTCATCAATACTGTAGTTTATAACTCATAATTACATTTAATTTATTAATGAATTATTTTGTTTATAAATACAAAAACAATTGAGAACACAAATGTTGATGAAGTTCATTTGAGAGTAACTAATATAAATCTGGATTTGTATTTATATATAAAACAATACAATAGTTAAGAATCAATTGTATTAATAGATTTAATTTGAGCGGCAAAACAGAAAATTTCATAAAAATCATACGGAAAACGAAATTTTGATAAAAATTAATATTGTGTATATAAACTTGTGTTAAGTTATTATCATTAGTTTTGAATGCATTAAAAATTAAATCGATTTCAAAGTAAGTGGAGAGTTATATGTGTTTTCCTGGAGTGCAATGAAGAACCCATTAATGGTTTCCAAGAATTTCATGAGATATTGGTTTATAAACAGTAGGTATGAAGACTTTTGAGCCAATTTTGATAGATATACACAAATAGTGGGTTCAAGAAATGCATTGTTTGATACAATAAATTAGGTGTCCGTCCAGTAATACGATCACTCTATGAGTGTCTCAGAAAAAGAGGTCTTCCGATGAGAAACTTTTTGTGCATTAGTCGGACCGCACGGGTGGCGTCTTCGGGAGTGTGGAAAGCGATCTGTGCGTCAGCGGTGGGCTGACCCTTCTCATTGAAACGCCGGCGAACGCACTCCTCTGTAATGCCGAAGTCCGAGAAGAAGACACAGACGTCTTCGGTGGAGGCCCTGTAAGGCATATTAGACGCCACAATCACACACTGCAGATCACTGAATGGGTCGCCTAAGCTCCTACCCTTCCTCTCTTCCCTCTCTCGTCGGTGTTGGGGTCGCATGTGATCGTCATGTCGTCCACCTCTGGGGCCGCGAGAAGGCGGCGGCGGTAAAGAGCCGACCGGCGGCTCATTCATCTGAGGTGGAGGATTGCCTACAACTTCTCTCATGAGCTCAAAGGGGACGCCCTTAATGTTAATGCGCTGATTGGCCATAAAGTCGCCGTCTCTGCCGAGCGCACAGTATTGCGACTCCAATGACCCGAACTCAACGTAAGCCTCGCCTGCATTCAAGCCGTTAGGTCTAAGCATTATATGGATAGCATAGGGTTGGGCGCCGGCAGATGAAAAATAGTTAGTCAGATCCCGATTAGTGACAGTGGCCGGAAGTCCGGTTATGTTTATACAGAATGTCTTCTGCGTGTCATTGATAGGAGGCGGGGCTAACACTCTTCGGGCGTCAATCATGTCATCCCGAGTGGTGGGGAAAAGTTCGATATACCGACGGCCCATATGTTTCATATTCCTCTGATACCCCGCGTCATAGTCTCCAATGTTGTCGAACTCCACGTATGCATTGCCAGTGGGTTTGCCCTTTGGATCGCATTCAATGACTATGTCGGCCAGTCGTATGGGTTCAAAGAACTTGGCCACATCCCTGTCCGTGCAGTTACTGTATGGCAGACCTTTCATATAGAGAACTAAGTCTTGTCCACCGCTTTGTCGCCGATTCTCATTGGGGTTAATATCCGAGGACTGAGAGGGAAGAAGCATAACGTCGTTGTTTTCGGGCACAAAGCTGTCGAGTAGTGGCTGGACATCAATCTTGTTGCTCGAGAGGAACCGTTTGTTCATCGAAAGGGCGGCGTCGAAGTCGCGCTCGTTATTGAAACGGATTAGAGCGCCGCCAGTCGTGAAGCCCCTGTCGTCTATCAAGATCTTAACGTTCTCTTCGGGAACAAAGAGACCATTGAAGAAGTCTATGATATCGCGAACGACTACATTGTACGGCAAATTGCGAAGCTCTACAGTATAGACGGGTGGCCTGTCGTTCACATTCATATCTCTTTGATTCCTCACTAAATGGCTATCACTTAAGAGTTCGAGTTCGCCATCGCGAAAGTCTCCCGAAGCAGATATTTCAGGTCTTAATCCTCTCTGTCCGTCAAAACCTTCGTTTGGGTTCCACTGATCGAGCCGTCGGTCTGGGAGTCCATTGGGAAGGACAGCCTCGGAATAGCTAAGTCGGGAGCGAACGGACGAGTCGTGCGGTGGGTATGAGTTGTTGAGCGAAGAATTCCTGATTGAGTCCATATCTCCCATAACTCCCGAATGCATTGAACCCAATCTATTGAGACCATTGCCCGCACTTCCATTCAGAGTGCGATCCCTGTCCTGACGGATAGGACTTCTACTTCTACTCCTATTCCTGATTCTAACCTCTCTTTCATTAGACCGCGAACTCAGAGCTCTTCTGTCAGGACTTCGACTGTTATTTCTATTGGAAGTGATATTTGGTTTGATATTATTTTGTGAGACATTCTGCAGAGACATGAGACCAGGATTGAGATAATTGGCGGCGTTATTGGAACTACTGTTTAGATTGTCAATGGGTTTGAGTCCGAGGGTCTGATTGCGGGCTAAGTCTATGACTTTCTGCATTTCATTGCGGGAAGAGAGGAGTAATTTGATGCGACAGTCCTTAATGGTGTGTCCCGTCCTCTCCATGGCCTGTCGGGCGTCTTCGTCGGACGCGAACCCAATGAATGCGTCGCCATTCTCTCCGCCGACGATATGGACGCCTCCGTCCGGGATCTGCAGGCCGTGGAAGAAGCGCCGGATGTCCAGTGAGTTCGCCTCCAGAGGAAGGTTTTGCAAACGGATTATTATTGACATCTCTTTCCTTCAGATATCACATCTAACCATCAAATCTAGAAAATAAGAAAACAGATCCAATCCCTCACGAATTAGTCCAACACTTCATTATAAGATATCTTTAATTAGTCTCATGTCTTAAACACAGCCCTTCCCTCCAATCTATCATTTGCTCATCCATTTGATCCATTGCTTAAGACTTCATTTAAGCCATTCATTGTCGCATAACTCCTCACCTCTACTATAGTCTACTAACTAAAGCCATATCTAAGACACTATACTATCACTGATTGGTTCAATTGAATACATGTTAAGAGCTAAACACGTGAACCAATCAATTATCTGTTAATCTAAGTGTGGATCAGTCGAGTGATGATAGAGTGAGCGCAGGTATACCAGGACAGGGAGATCAGCCATTCACTGGTGCTTCAGTCATATATTCAATTGACACACATTTCATTCAATTGAATTGAATTGAATCCAAGCCTTACCACTGAATGATAGTAAACCACATAAACTCAGATCACATCAACTCAAGAGACAACTATTCATTTGAATTGCAATTAACGGAAAGCAGTCAATGAATGGTAGAGTAGACCACAGTTTGCCAGTTATTCAGTCAATGGCAACAATCGTACGCCTATTAGTGAAATGCACTCACGAATAGAGGTCTCATTCAATAGAGCTCTCAGTCTCACAGCAAACATACTGTATTTGGCTTACGGTTATACTGTACCCCGGTCATTATTTATTTGCATTTATAACTATTTTCACGTATTCTAAACATTTATATAATTTGTGACCATTTTTATATTTCTATAGAATTTAATATATTTCATGAATATTTCGTCGATAAAATAAATTAAATTTAATAAAAATCTAAAATAATTTCCTTAAGAAACGCTTGCGATCTCTAGCTATGAAATGTTGAAATAGCGGTAAACTATAATACAGTACTGTATAAAACTTAATTTAAATTTAACTGTTTGATTTTAGAAAACTTTTATAAAGTTTATACACGAGTTTAATTCATAACAATTTATATATTTTTTTATTTATTATCAGTATCTGTTGAATTTATACCGCAATTAACTTTTTGAACAAATGTTGCCAAATAATTTATTATAATACTTATTATTATAATTTATAAAACTTATTATAATACAGTAGTAGTAATTTCAAATTACCATGATACATTATAAGTAGTTTGAATTACTTTGTTGGGTATTCACAATATAATGGTAATTCTAATTTCTGTGCACTAGAATAATTAATTTACTGTATTGTTATAATGAACTTGAAATGATCAAGCTAGGTTATCTAGTTAATGGAATAATAATTTATCATTATGTTATTAAAATGTTACAATTAGTAAAGCTTTTTAAATTATCTTGTTCATCTTTTCTTAAAATAAGAATATTTATATTTGGGATCAAATGACAATTTAATGCTTTAGAAGCGATACACTGCTCACCAATGATTACGAAATGCATTCTAGAAAATGATTTTGATTTGGACGTATCATGGTTCATTTTAATGAAAAACCATTGTGAGACTGTTGCACACCTATTGCTTTATCGATACGATGAAAATGATTGTAAAAAATGGACAGAATTTGTTTCATTGGCTCATTGGGTAACTTTGATTGGCATAAGACATCAATTGTCTTACAGTTGAGTGATCAGTGAAAGTAAGCCGTCTATTATATCATTGTTTAAAACCAAAATAAGATAAATATGTGAAAATGTGGCATATTTTCTGTATTTTTATAAATTAGATGATATTATTTAAATCACTAACCAGAGAAAAATACTATATTGTGAGTACGAATAATACATGCAATGTAGTCATAATTTTGTAGTACTGTATTCATTTGAATGATATTGCCTGACATATTAGAATTAAAAATAGGAAATACTGTACAAACTTACTTAACCCTCTTTGAATGACAATTACATTTTATTTTGTATTTATCCTATATATTAAGCACTGAATACCGTGCAACTAAATTACTTATACAGTATATTATCCAGTCCATACAGTATATTATCCAGTCCATACTGTATATACAGTCCATTTTATATTTGGACGAAAAGACTTTTAAAAAACAATTGACTTCCAAGCCAGCTAAATTTAATTCACTAAGTATTCATTTTTTATTTAATTATTTTTATGTCAAGTACAGTAAGTTTAAGAATAAATTTTATAATTCATTAGATGAAATAAAGTGTATCACATATTATATAATATTGAATATTTAAAAAAGTATTTAATTTAAAAATTAATTCATATTGAAAGTTAAATAAAAGGGAAACTAATGTATTTAGTTATATAAGTTAATAGCGTACTTTTATTTTATATTATTAATTATGTTTTCACTGTTTTAAATTAGTTGGCATTATTTTGTATTAATAATTATGTGATTAAGTAAATATGTATAATATCTAAACTATTTTTACAATAAAATAAAAACTTGACTACCTATTCAAAACAAATTTTGTTTTAAATTTAATTTGAATGCTTCTATGCTTTTACTAATTGCTTTGACAAACTGCCTGCCAACAAGTATAACTTATAATTTGTGGTTATGGACAGTGACTGGCCCTGGAGTTTGAATGTTTTGATAAATTTAATAGTAATAAATAAAGCAAAAATATTTTAAATACAGTACAATGTAAAGTAGATATAATATAGTTAGTTATGTATTAATGCAATGATTGGCCAATCAGTGCCGGAAGACTATAGAAATGCAAGTCTTTAGACGCCTAACACTTTGAAGTGAAAAGTCAGACAAACTATTGTCTTGTCGTAGAATTGTATGAAATAGTATTCTGTGAAAAGTGGGACACAATTGAGTCAATGCTTTAACAGTTGACTTCAACTTTTCAGTTAACAGTATTTCACAGACAGTCGTTCATTTAAATTGTAGTTAACACTAACCAACTGTAGGCAACAGTTCCCTCACCAAGTCTTGTGTTATGACACTTCTTAAACTTAATACTATGGACCAGAAAACCGCAACACCTTCTGAGTATACATCACCCGATAGAAGGAATACTATGGCTTCCGATTTGCCCCCGGTGAGTCATTTCTAATTTTAAAAAATTCATTTGATATCAATTACAAAATCTTTATAAATTTTTCAAATTATAAAATTTAAGAAAGTTATTTAAAACTTTAAATAATGTAATTTCAATAAAACTAGCTTTCCGGTGGTACAATCAAATGAACTAATTGATTACATTGTACAATATAATTATTTTTAACTGAATTTTTTATGACAGTTATTGGAATTAATTTATTTTTCAATTTTTATATGAATTAAAACTTCAAAGAAGGCCTTTATATTAAACTTAGTAATGCATTGGGTTTTACATTTAATATACAATTTGTAAAGGAGTTTGTCATTAGTTGATTGAGTTAATGCAAGCAATAGTGTATTTTAATTATAATTTTGTACTGTACATCTTTGAAGTTTTGATTCATATATAGTATTAGTAAGTTTAATAGAATATAAGACTAAAAAGAGTATACAAAATATAAAACTATACCGGTAAATGCGGTATAAATCAACAATTATTTTATTGAACTAAATCTTTAAAATAATTTTAAATTAATATTATTGACCAATAATTATATAATAGAAAATTTAATATAAAATTTATTTATAGTCTGAATTCCAATCATATTATGTCTCGGATTCCTTAAAAATGGCAAAAGTAATCTCGAAGACATTGTTGGCCATTACAGTAATACTTAGCGCTTTGGTTCTCATCTCTGTATATATTCAGGCGAACAACCGGTGCTCGTGTGGAAGACAGGTATCATTTGGCTATTCATTTATATTCAACACAACAATTCATTAAAAATAGAAAGTGTCTAAAATTAAAAGTAATTCAAACAATTAAACAATATCTAAAGTAGAAAGAATTATTCGCATTTGATCCAAACACAATGAAATGGTAAAACAATTCTGAGAGAGAGAGAGAGTTCAACAAACTATTATTCGCAACTAGTATATTTTATAATGAAATGAACAATAAGTAGTATGACTAATTATTTCTATACTTTCTGTATTGTATTAATTATAGCAATTTTTATGTAATTAGTAATTACTAATTACTTTAATTTTGATTTAAGAAGATTTATATACTTTAGTAATTAAGATAAGAGATAAATCAAATGAATTTGTAATACTACAGTAGTATAATGCAATAGAGCTTACGAATTAAAGTTTTAAAATTAGTTTAACGCAATTTGTTTTTAAAGAATTTATTATTCTGATAATTTCTTTAAATATGAAATGTTGTATTAATACTAAAATATTGTTAAGATTTGTAAGTAAATTAAGTAAACATAAAATGTGTAGAAATCGCGAAATGGGCCATATTTTGAGCCGTTAACCGCTGAGAGTGAAGACAAAGAAAGAAGAAGACTTCCGTTGAGTATAGAAATGGCCGGATCTGCTGGAGTGAGTCCTTTGCATATATGGGACACTTTGCATATATGGGACACTTTGCAAAATGACTTAATGTATGATTTATTGAAATAGGATTTAATGAAAAAGATGAATACAAAAGGACACGTGAATTGTGTGGTTGAACGCAAAGTTGCCAATCAGATCATTGCATCAGAACCCAAAACGGTATGTCATTTGCTATTATTTCTACATTTTGTGATTAACTCATAAATCCGAAAACTTATTAATGAAAAGTATGAATTATTTGGCAATAGTTGTCCTGGTTGCAATTTCATAATATTTACATAAGTATTGCATAAAATTCTAGAAATGTATTCTAAATAGAAACTATTATTTTCTATTTCGTTGGGAGTATTGTTTGTGAATTAATATTCATTGGGTTTAATCATGCAATGTAATCATTACTAATAAGTAATTATAACTAACGGAAACCTATTTTATCTTATTTTAGTCTTTTTGTGAATAGAAAAGACTAAATAAAATAACTAAATTATAGATAACTAGAGATTTAAAACATTTTTTGTATAAACAACAGAGAAATATAACATTTATGAAACAATTACAGTGAAGGCAATCGCAATTATAATACAATTTCATAGCATTACATATAATTAATAATTTCCTTTTCAACTGAATTAACACATATTACTCGTAAAAGAGCTAAGATTTAGACCGTTTCGGTTGCCCTCAAATCAAGAGTTATTTTTTGTGGAACTCTATTATTTTGACTTTTGTTGAAAATTTCTACTAAAAAATTAATTAAAATAAAAATATATATAGAATTGAAGTGAAATAAAAAAGTTAATTACTATTTGTGCCTATATTTTAATAAAATTGACTTTAAATTAGTTAATAACACCTTATGGTAACATCACAACTGATCCGCGTTTGATTCACTTGACCGGCGAGAAGATGGTCTTCACCTGTAATTCCGCTAATAAAGAGACGAATAGAAAGAATAAAACAAAAACCGAAGACAAAGATAAGGAGAATGAAGTGATCGGTAATTATAGCTATAATACAATGATTTAATCCAATTAAATAGGGTATTGATCTTTAGTGCTAATTGCTGTCAAATCCTTTCACAAACCTTTTCAGGACAAAAGTAGAAAACTTTAATTAAAAAGTCATTAGACTGTGTTTCTTATATGATAATTATCTTTATCTAACATTAAAATATTCACACTAAACATAATTTAATAAGATATTCACTACTTTTTAATATTAACAAAACCATACAAATCAGAATTTACAACTTTTAAACTTTTATTTAAAAGTGCACAAATTAATAGTGCAATTAAAATAAAACGGGTTTTATGATAATGAAGTCAATCATTTTCATTGAACTATTTTTGTCTATAATATAAGCAGAATTGATTCGCTCCAAGCGATCGACTGGAACCGCCAACAATAAGTGCATCTGTGATTGTGACTGTTAGATGACATGGCTTACAATTTGGCATAGTGGCATAGTACTTACTTTTTTGACAACCTTTAGTATCAACATTTAAAATGTGTGACTTAATCAATTCTCTAGTTTTATACACAGTTTGAATAATTATTCTTATAAAAGTTATTAGAATTATATTTGTATTTTGAGAAAATGATATATAATTTCAAAATAAATTCTTTTAATTTCATTCACTTATTATTATTACAATAACTTATACCTAAATCACAGAACACTCTAATAATAATACAATCATTGAATACAATATGTAATTTCATTTTATCTTAAAAATAATTGGAAGAATTAAAAGCAAACTTTGAAAACGTTTTAATGAAGTAATAATAAAATTGATTTAATATTGAAAACATTTGATATCTAAAACTCTGCAAATAAAACAAGTCATCAAATGTTGCCATTCGTCCAATTGATCTGATCGTAGGAATACTTTTGATTGTCTTTATTGTCTTCATTGAGAGGAAGCGTAGAACTGCTCGTCTTATTAGAATTCAAGCGTTCATTCACTAACGAGTCCTCCAGAACTCGTGGATTGAATTTCTGTTTTTCTTTACTTAGCCAACAGTTCCTGATTTTGATGATAATGTAAACAATTGTCAGGGGAATGGGTGTCATGACAGAGGCTGCGACGGGAACAACAGACGCCAAGTCTGCGTCCGGTTGTTGAAGAGATAATCCCAACAAAACAATAGCGACGCCTGTGTTCTGAATGCCCGTCTCGATTGCAATAGCAATTTGGTCGGCAAATGACTGTCTGAAAAGTATGGCCGCAATGAGTCCTCGTCCGGTTGTTGAAGAGATAATCCCAACAAAACAATAGCGACGCCTGTGTTCTGAATGCCCGTCTCGATTGCAATAGCAATTTGGTCGGCAAATGACTGTCTGAAAAGTATGGCCGCAATGAGTCCGACCAGAAAACCGGTCCAAACGTTGACAGAAGCGGCTAATAGTATACGCCATGACATCATACGAAACATATATAGATTGGCATAAGTGCCGAAAATTATTATAAATATAATCATTGCGATCGAAACGGGCGCTAAAATTTTGCGACAAATCTATTAAACATGAGAAACAATTAATTAGCATTAAATGAAAATAATTTGTTTCTATTAAAAATGCAATCAATGCCTACATTGGCCACTTTTGGTATAAATCTCTGGAATAGTAACCCGAGGCCTAAGAATATAGTCATCGAAGCCAAAGAACCAAATATATTATGCAACGGAACTGAGGTTGTCGTGCCCTCGAAGATACTGGGACCCAATGTTGACAACCAGAATGGCATCATAACTGTCATATAAATTCATGCATTTATTAAAATAAATTATTGCCGCAAATGTTTTCATTGTACTGTAAAAGCATTGTGTAATCATAGCTGTGAAAAATAGTTGAAAACTTTTCATACCGTAATATAAAAAAAGTAAAACTAAAATAAATGTGTTGTTCACTAACAACACAAGAATTGAACCTTTCCAACATAATCCTAATCTTATAATCAAAAGCTAATATCATATTGCATATGCTAAAACTAAAATGTGCATGCTAACTTGTAAATGTCAAGTGGTTTATTTAGTTAAAACTATAAAACACTAACTTAACCAGAATAATACCGTATATAGCCATTGAAATGTTGAGAATAACGGTAATCCTTGTGAACCCCTCAATCTATTGTAGTTTTGGACAAAAGCCAAAACAATTGCTAATAATTGAGTTCTAAATTAATGGCTTTAATATGAATGATGTGAACAAATAAAAAAATTGGTTTTAATAAAACCACTTGAAATAAAATAAATTAAATGAAAAACTAATGACTGTATTGTTTAATATCGCAATAAATTAAAGGATTTTTTAAGACACCAAAAATTACATTTACTCAATATTTGAATTGTTTTGTATGCCTTATATATCTATTGTAAATTTCTCATTAGGTCACTATTCCTACACCATATAGGAGTGGCCTTCTGTTACACTGACAATAAGTGATTTAAAATATAAATAGGATTTAATGGGAATTATAACTTACAAAGTGCTGATAAGGTACTGATGAAAGTCATGGTAATACTGAGGTTAAGATTGCCGCCCAATGGAAGACAATGTGAGACAATAAGTGATTTAAAATATAAATAGGATTTAATGGGAATTATAACTTACAAAGTGCTGATAAGGTACTGATGAAAGTCATGGTAATACTGAGGTTAAGATTGCCGCCCAACAGCACTGTCCACATATTGCTGGCACCGCCACCAGGACTGGCGCCGAACACGAAGAGTCCTAATTGGAGGTAGGATTCCGTGAATAGCAGTTTGGCGGCCAAGAATGCAATCTATGGATCAGACATTAAGGCATCAATTAGTTGATCACAATTACAAACAATTCAATCAAATCAATACCAAAGGCATGAAAGTGTATTGACAGACAAATCCAATGGTGGGTGCGATGGGTCTCTTGAGCACCTGCAGGACTACAGTCATATCGAGAGCACATCCCATGTTTATGTAGTTCATGGATATCAAGACGGCCACAGATATGGTGAATATTTTGGTCAATTGGCTGGTCTTCCGGATCACACTAATGGCCAGCCGTTCGCTCACATCGTTTGCATCGTATTTGTTGATCACTTGAAGCCATGAGTGACCCAAACATTTGCCCCTCAACTCAAACGTGCCATTCAGTGGTCCATTGGAGCCCACAATCAATGTCTTGTCGCCCAACACTTCCACCACAGAAGGGTCGCCGACATAGAGATCGTAGTAATCATTGGAATTGAATTTATGGACAGAATTGTTGAGTTCGATGGACACGGTTATGATCTCATCTTCTTTCAGTTGGTTCACCGGTGATGGTCTGAATGTGACACTCAGTGCTGCCGTCACTTCCAGTAACAGCAGAATCACTGATAATATGAGAGCTAATAAGACGACCGGACACATGACTATCACCACCAATTGATCCCAAAGTGAGTGAGGGTTTGCTATGCGATGTAAACCATAAACTGATCACTGGATGGATGGCTGCTGTGAACGACGAGTGAATCAAACAATTAGTGAATGAATGGATTGAATGAAGGCTTGAATAAGTGGTCGGTGTGTGAGAAGTGATCACAAGTTTGTGTCTGCAATGAGTTGTGAATGCATTCAATTCAATGACAAACACAACAAACACTGAAACACTACGAGAGTATTGCATAAATGCATAAATGCTTAGCCATTGCATCACATGTGCGCCGCCTCTTAACCAAACTCACGCCATATGTGTGCCTTTAAGGCACTCATATAATATATGCCATACTGTATTGCATCTGATTCTGACAAATTCATTTGACCAGGACACTATTCAATTTATACTGCAATATATTTATACTAAACTACATATATTGAACAATGCACAAATCACTTCAAACTTACTTTTTTTGCAAATTCATTCAATATTAACAAACAATTTATTTTTCTATTTAATATTTCAATCTATAAAATAACTGTTCTTGCTAACTTATTAGGATTTTATTCTAGATAAATCTATAAGTTTAAAATATTAAGTAATATAAAAATAATATTTTAATACAAATATACAATATTTGATATATATTTGCAATACGAGTTTATATGGCAGTAAAAAAGCGGCCAAACGTTGGGCGCCGGGCGTAACAAATTGGTTGTGGCGTTGAATATACCAAATATATTACGCAATACTCCGTCAATAGTGTCGATGCGTTCAGTGAGCACTCAATGCACTGAATGCACGACAAATATATTACAAGTGTCTGTACTAAACAACTGAAATGCAATGAATTTCTAACTGATATACTGATCATTATTTAAATGAAAATCTTATTAACATTATTTAGACTCAATTGTACTCAAAATACTTATTTGTCAAACAATTGACTAATCAATGGATCAGAAATTCAAAATTCAGACAAATTAGGAACAAATCTATAGATAATATCTGATCTCAAAGTTATTATAATAGACTAAAAAGTAAAATAAAATTCGATAATAGCTATTTTGTATTCTATAGTATTTGAAACTGAGTTAATGATAAGTTTGCTGTTAATTAAGAGTTTTTCATTATGAAAAACTTTGAAACTCGGTAAAAACTTAGTATTTCATAAGTATTTTCCATTCATTTGATTCAATGGTTTTGGTAATAATTACAATATAAAGCCATGAATTAAAATACATTAGCATTGAATATATTAATAAAATAAGTCATGAATTGCGCTATAATTTGATTACAAAATAAATTTGTTTTGCAAAACAATATACAAAATATAATATAATAAACTTATATACTATATAAGTGAATATATAGATACCAAACCATGCAATAGTGCGTAAGTTTTAGACATTTATTTGAATTGAGACTAAATATAAAATTGTTATTAAATTAATAATAACTGAAATATAAATTGAGTCAAAACTGATGACAGCATGTGATTGAAAGCATTCAAAAGTGAATTCATTAATATTAGGCATTAAATAGCGTATTAACTAAACTTACATAATGTGTTGCTTTAAATTTAGGTGAGATTTCGATAAAATTGTATTTTGACAGTAAATAAACGAAACGAAACACAATATAAGAATCAAAATTAAAATCAAAAATACAAAATGAATGAAAATACAGTCCAGTATTAAAATAATGAAATTTAGGAAATACTTGAAAAATAGGACAATCTTTGAACCAGTTTTGCGTCACTTGTTTTGTGCCAAACTTCTCAAACCAAACCTGTATTTGTATTCAGTATCTAATAATGAAATCATAAAAAGTTTCACTTCAAACATAATTAGCTATCATTTGCTTACAATTGAATCGCTTTTAAAGACAAACTATTCTCGTATTCAATAGTTAACTCGTTTTGCACAGAATTCAAACCTCTGAAGGACTTCTCATAGGAGTTGTCTTTCAATGTATTATATTTCGCAATTCATTACTTTTGTTTGTTTTAATCAAATAATTACTTTGCAAAAAATCTTTATAAAAATAATTATTTGATTTTTTATTTATTTGAAATTCAACGCCTGAGTGAAAACGTGTATCAATCTGTGTATGATAGGCTATATAAAACGACAAATTGTTGTCAAATTATCCAAAAGTTATTAAACTTTGATGCACTTTACCGTATCAACAGTTTACTCGTCCTTTTAATACATAAAACTGGCGAACACTCGACAAACACAAAAAAAATGTTAAAATTTCACTATTTTTTGCATCCAATTCAAGACAAATATAAAAAATGTTCTCAATTTTTACATTAAAATTATATCAATTTAACGATAAAAATAGTTTTATTTAATTTATTTATTGAAAAAATATTATTTCCATTCATTCAAACATTTGTATAACTGTAATGGATTTACTTTTTAAGTATTAATTAATACCATATACTGTTCATTTGATACAATAGTCTTATTGGAGACTAAATAAGTTACAAATTATAATACAGAAATATATATAAAAGTATCTGAATTTGATTGGATTTATTTTAGACAAAAAACATATTAATTTTAAACAATCAATTATATTGATAAATTATAATTGGAAACACAATATACAGTATTTAAAAATATTGCTGGAATATAGTTACCATCTCATTGATTTTATTGGACAATGAGTGCCGTATTAATCATTTCAAACCAATATTGTGTCACCATTTCCCGTATAATCAGTCGTTTTTAATAAAAGTTAATTCTGTATAAAAATATTATAAAAATCAATTATATTAAATATAAGGGATCATTCAATAAGTACATACGCACAGGGTTGAGGAGGGGGGTTAGCAAAGGTATGTGTACACAATGTTAAAGTCTTATGTACTGTACCTACAGTCTGTATATTAGGATTAAGTAGGGGAGGGGTGTTAATTTTCCGACAAATTTTTACGTACGTACATATTGAATGACCCCTAACTTAAATAGTCAAAAGCATTAGTGTCTGTTTAATCCAATAGTCCCGTCGGAGCACTTTTGATGGCTGTATTGGTAGTATTGGTTGCAAATGATTGCGAAGGAATCACTTGAGGCTGCAGTGGAGGCGGAAGAGTGGGAATCACGTTATCATTAATGCCGTCAAATAGAAGAGTTTCATTCGGATGACTGTAACCACTTTGTGGCATAACATTGTGAGGCAAGCCATACTGTGCAACTGTGTTTTGTGGTAATCCATACTGTGGTATATTATTTTGTGGTAAATAAGTTTGTGGTATAGGATTCTGTGGTAAAGAATTCTGAGGATAATTATTCTGAGGCAATGAATTCTGTGCATAATTATTCTGTGGTAAAGAATTCTGTGAATAATTATTCTGTGGTAAAGAATTCTGAGAATAAATATTCTGTGGTAAAGAATTCTGGGGATAACTATTCTGTGGTAAAGAATTCTGGGGATAACTATTCTGTGAATAATTATTCTGTAAATAATTATTCGGTGGTAAAGGATTTTGTTGATAATTATTTTGTGGTAAAGAATTCTGCGGCAATGAATTCTGTGAATAATTATTCGGAGTATAATTATTCTGTGGTAAAGGATTTGGTGAATAATTATTGGGTAAAGCATTTTGTGGATAATTATTCTGTGGTAAAGAATTTTGTGAATAATTATTTTGTTGATAAGTATTCTGTGGCAAAGGATTCTGTGGCACCGGATTCTGTGGCAAAGGATTCTGTGGCACCGGATTCTGTGGCAAAGGATTCTGTGGCACCGGATTCTGTGGCACAGGATTCTGTGGCAAAGGATTCTGTGAAAAATTATTTAGTGGGAAACTATTCTGTGGTAAAGAATTGTGTGGAATACTATTGGGTGGCAAATGAGATAAAACAGTCTGTGATGTATGGGTTTGTGATAAACTAGAAGGCGGATAGTTCTGTGCGGGCGGTACGGGAGGAACGGCTGTATAATAGTCAACTGATAAGGGATTTGATTCAGGAATAGGTTTTGAAGCATTAAAATATTGCAAATAATCTTTAAGTTTAGGTGCGACTGATGTGTCGCCTTTTGGTGTCATATAGTTATCATTGAATGGAGTGAAACTGGATTTCCTTTGAGAGGAACTGATTTGAGTTCTCTCCTCGTCCTGAACCCGACAGACACCGCGAGTTCGCGCGTGAAGTCTATCCACAATATTCTGAAACTTCTGATAAAACTCTAAACCTTTCTTAGAGTTTGTCTGCAATTCTTTAAAGATATCAAACGTATGGATAAGAGAAGCGATTCGAGCGCTTCGGTTGCGTTCGTTGTCGAGGAGAGCTCTTC